CAGAAACACAGGACAAAACTTTGTCCAGAAATTCTAAAATATAACTGTCTTCCACTGTTTTGCTGTTTGTTGATTCCAACACACCCTTAATCACTGCATTGTAGAAAATCACTGACGTGAAGTATTTACTAGTATCCAGCAGCAGTTCATAAATAAGTTCTCTGGCATGAATAACAAGTGGCAAGTCGGAATCGTCTATGTTTCCAACACTAAACTTGTTATACAGGATTCCTAAAAGCTTGTTTTCAATTGAAACACGTTTAACTCCAATTTCTCTGTCAAATATGGCATGCAAGAAGTTCGCTTTTGCCATTGCTGTTTGATCAATGTTTGTGAAATGGTGCAGTAGGTTATGTTTTTTAATACTGCATTGAAAAAGCTGAGGGATATAGGGGAAATTCTGCTATATAGCCATACTTCCCCCTTGTGTTAAGGGGGGAAATCTGACTCTAAAGCGGAAATATAGCTATGTAGTCATTTTTCCCCGGGGGAAATTTAGCTATATAGCGCTTTTTCCGGGGGGGGGGGGGGGGGGGGAAATAGGCTTTATAGCCCTCTTTCCGGGGAGAATTTAGGCTAGGGGGAAAATCCCACTCACTGACACCGGCTCTTGATATACACAACACATGTTAGGGGGTGAGGAGGAGGAGGAGGGAGGGGGAGCATTACACGAGTTTGTGTAAATATAGAAGTGATCTATCAAGTCCTGTCAAAATAAAACATTTCTCAAAGTAACAGTATGGTTGTTACAGACATTTTGAGAGAGTGATGTGTGCGAGGTAGGCAATGTTGTTTCACGCCACAGTCTGCAATCTTCAAGACACATCACTTCGGCCTGCAAATACCGATTCTTAAACAGGCTTAAAGTCAGTGGATGCGATGAAGCATTAATCAGTCAGTTCACCCAGTGTGACTATCCTTGCTGTAACCATTCAGTTCATGCAGTGTGACCTATCCTCGTTGTAATCAGTCAGTTCACCAAGTGTGACTATCCTCGTTGTAATCAGTCAGTTCATGCAGTGTGACTATCCTCGTTGTAATCAGTCAGTTCACCAAGTGTGACTATCCTCGTTGTAATCAGTCAGTTCATGCAATGTGACTATCCTCGTTGTAATCAGTCAGTTAATGCAATGTGACTATCCTCGTTGTAATCAGTCAGTTCATGCAGTGTGACCTATCCTCGATGTAATCAGTCAGTTCATGCAGTGTGACTATCCTCGTTGTAATCAGTCAGTTCATGCAGTGTGACTATCCTCGTTGTAATCAGTCAGTTCACCAAGTGTGACCTATCCTCGTTGTAATCAGTCAGTTCATGCAGTGTGACCTATCCTCGATGTAATCAGTCAGTTCATGCAGTGTGACTATCCTCGTTGTAATCAGTCAGTTCACCAAGTGTGACCTATCCTTGCTGTAATCAGTCAGTTCATGCAGTGTGACTATCCTCGATGTAATCAGTCAGTTCATGCAGTGTGACCTATCCTCGTTGTAATCAGTCAGTTCACCAAGTGTGACTATCCTCGTTGTAATCAGTCAGTTCACCAAGTGTGACTATCCTCGTTGTAATCAGTCAGTTCACCTAGTGTGACTATCCTTGCTGTAATCAGTCAGTTCACCAAGTGTGACCTATCCTTGCTGTAATCACTCAGTTCATGCAGTGTGACTATCCTTGCTGTAATCAGTCAGTTCATGCAGTGTGACTATCCTTGCTGTAATCAGTCAGTTCATGCAGTGTTACCTATCCTTGCTGTAATTAGTCAGTTCACCTAGTGTGACTATCCTTGCCGTAAGCAGTCAGTTCACCAAGTGTGACCTATCCTCGTTGTAATCAGTCAGTTCATGCAGTGTGACTATCCTCGTTGTAATCAGTCAGTTCACCAAGTGTGACCTATCCTCGTTGTAATCAGTCAGTTCATGCAGTGTGACCTATCCTCGTTGTAATCAGTCAGTTCATGCAGTGTGACCTATCCTTGCTGTAATCACTCAGTTCATGCAGTGTGACCTATCCTCGATATAATCAGTCAGTTCATGCAGTGTGACTATCCTCGTTGTAATCTCTCAGTTCATGCAGTGTGACTATCCTCGTTGTAATCAGCCAGTTCACCAAGTGTGACTATCCTCGTTGTAATCAGTCAGTTCACCAAGAGTGACCTTTCCTCGATGTAGCCAGCCACTTCACCTAGAGTGACCTATCCTCGATGTAATCAGTCAGTTCACCTAGTGTGACCTATCCTTGTCGTATTCAGTAAATTCACCAAGTGTGAGTATCTTCGATGTAATCAGTCAGTTCACCTAGTGTGACCTTTCCTCGATGTAGCCAGCCACTTCACCTAGAGTGACCTATCCTCGATGTAATCAGTCAGTTCACCTAGTGTGACCTATCCTTGTCGTATTCAGTAAATTCACCAAGTGTGAGTATCTTCGATGTAATCAGTCAGTTCACCTAGTGTGACCTTTCCTCGATGTAGCCAGCCACTTCACCTAGAGTGACCTATCCTCGATGTAATCAGTCAGTTCACCTAGTGTGACCTATCCTTGTCGTATTCAGTAAATTCACCAAGTGTGAGTATCTTCGATGTAATCAGTCAGTTCACCTAGTGTGACCTTTCCTCGATGTAGCCAGCCACTTCACCTAGAGTGACCTATCCTCGATGTAATCAGTCAGTTCACCTAGTGTGACCTATCCTTGTCGTATTCAGTAAATTCACCAAGTGTGAGTATCTTCGTTGTAATCAGTCAGTTCACCTAGTGTGACCTATCCTTGTCGTATTCAGTAAATTCACCAAGTGTGAGTAACTTCGTTGTAATCAGCCACTTCACCTAGAGTGACCTATCCTCGATGTAATCAGTCAGTTCACCTAGTGTGACCTATCCTCGTTGTATTCAGTAAATTCACCAAGTGTGAGTATCTTTGTTGTAATCAGTCAGTTAATGCAGTGTCAGTATCCTCGTTGTTATCACCCAGTTCACCTCAGTTCAATCAGATCTTACAGCTAACATTGGGAGCTGGTCAGTTATCATTACCGGTAATTGTCACTTATGCAGATAACATTTCGCATCGTTACACTAATTTATATTCCTACTTCTATACGAAGCGGTTATATAGATGCAATGTTATATACTTGTGGAAACAGTATCATACTTTGGCGCTATCAGGTATACAATGACATCAACCATGTGAAATTTATGAAACACTTTGATGTGAATTATATCGAAATCAACATTGTAATGAAATAGTGAAATTGTTACACTGGCCACAATAATATAGGTTTGATATACGCTTTCACATATCTAGACTATTCACGCGTGAAAGATATTAGTTATATATAATAGATCATATCATTATCTGTTTGTAATATAATTATCGTCTATATATGTTATTACATTGTTAAACACTTACTTACGTGAAAAGGTTAGTTACACAAACTATATCTATATATTTGGGATCATACGCATGTATATAGAAATAACAATTATATGAGGTGAGGTGAGGTGAGGTGAGGTGAGTAGAGGTGAAATTGGGTTTAACGTCAGGTCCAAGATTATTGCACTTATATAGCGATGTGCATGTGTGAGCAAGGATTATATCCTACCTAAATATTATCCCGGGGGAAGTTTAACTCTAGACTGTAGTATAGGATAGGATTAAACACACTGGTATGTGTTCAAACTCACTAGGGAGAATCATCCTGACACTAGAGAATTTCATTCCCGGGATAAAAATAAGGTAGGATAATGTTGACTCTTACATATGCACGTGTGTGTGTGTGTCTGCTTGTATTAGTCCGGACTGGTGCCAATTTATAGTGCTAGCTCATTGAGATACCATGTCGTAGTTTAACATGAATACCCCACTCAAACACCGAACTGACTCCGAGCCGACCAGTCTTGTTTTAACCCTTTAACGCCGAGCGCCAGACAGGGTAACAACAAGTACCATCTTTTAACGTCTTTTGGTATGACGCGGTCGGGGATCGAACCCCGGACCTTCCGCTCTCCAGGGTTAGAAACTAACAGCTTTTGTCCACTAGTCCTTATAATGATAACATATAGCAAAACCCTTAATATGGGCCAATTTCTACTAGTCCTTAGGATACCTTTACTATTGGGCAGTTTGGTAAGGACTACAGGACTAGTGCCAGTTTCTAACGCTGCTCTCCGGGCGGACGCTCTATCACTAGACCACGGAGAACAAATATGTAAAGCTCTTTATCAGTAGTGTGGACATTGTTGTTATACGCTGCCCACTGTAAAGAAACTACAGAATGTACGGCATTGATAGCTTACACCACATTAACATACACGTTTAATAGGCTCTACGGCTCATATCATGTTTAATTGCGACACGACTCACACAGCAGTTCGAAGCTAAGGGTACAAATTCTAGTGATAGGTTGAAATGTCAAAAAAGTTTTGTTTTATTTGTCCTATTGCATTAAAGCAATATCTTACTTACTTACTTTGGAGATTTAACGTGCGCTTTCCGACTGATGCGTATTTCGCACACGGGCCCGGCCAGGCCATTTAATGTGTTTCCGAAAGGGGCGAAAGTGGTCTGTGCAACCCAAGAGGGGGGGCCAAGAGGGGGGTTTTAGGGGTTGCTTATATAGAATTTGGGAATTTTGAGTTTTGGAATAGATGCCGATGGGATTGGGGAGGAGAACTAAGGGAGCTGGGTATGGTGGATGTTTGTTTGTTTATGTGATTTTGATTTGGTAGGTTATTGTGTTTTTAGATGCGTTTTATTAGTTCCGTTTTTATTAAGAATACGCCTAAGGCCTAAGCAATATCTGAGCTCAGGCAGTTGATGTGTCATGCATGTTTTTGACATTTTCATCATTTTTCACCAGGCGACTGCCGGGGGCATTTGCGGCATTTTTAGGAGGCTGTCAAGTCTCGGTGATCAATCGCCCCATGTCATCTAAGGACAACACGTGACAGGCAGCGGGGGCAATACCTATTGTTACGTATTTCCCACATAATTAACCCATTTGTGTGGACCGAGACCATCAACCAATCACACCGCTTCTTACAATCATCTGCTTCTGGCGGTCAGGGATGACACTTTATGGAGCGTCTCAGCCTGCCCAGACAACATATCGAGGTGTTGAACGCACGAGTGAAGGCAGCCAGATAGACAGGATTTAGTCATTCATACTCAAAATGGCGACCAGCGACAATCTCCATATGTTTGAAGACCACCCGCGTTGGGAAGAGTACAAGTTTGAAAAGCTGCGTCCCTCTACGACGTCATCTTCACCTGGAAAGAGGGTGAAGAAGAGGTACCAGCCACGTCGGTCTTTGGTCCGGAAGGAAGGAAAGAGCAACGTCGCTTACAGAGGTATCAGAAATAAGGGACTGCATTATGTGAAGGACTTTTACAATAGCTTACTTGATCTAAAATGGCGGTATGCATTTTTGGTATTGTTTGGCGGTTTCTTAGCGTCATACCTAACTTTCGCCATCTTATACTGGGTGTTAGGGTACGTGCACGGCGACTTCCATAACCTCCACAACCCGCATTGGGTACCTTGCTTTATGAAGGTCACGTCTTTCTGGGACAGTCTGTTATTCTCGATCGAGACCCAGTCGACAGTTGGCTACGGGACCCTGTACCCGTCTCCAGAGTGTGGGGCCGCCAACATCCCTCTCGTGTTCCTACAGATGACCCTCGGCGTTCTCCTTGAGGCCGTCATACTGGGCATGGTGTTTGTGAAGATTGCCCGCCCGAAGAACCGATGCCAGACGATCATGTTCAGCCGAAGCGTGTGTGTGTGCCAGGAAGACGGCGAGATGTGTCTCCAGATCCGTGTCGGCGACCTACGAAGTAAGACCCACCTGATTGACGCTAGTGTGTATGCAATGGTAGTCCAGAAAAACATATGCAAGGAGAAGTATGTGTACCCCTTGTACCAGCACAATATGGAACTCACATCGAACGGCATTAAGGAAAAAATCTTCCTCATCTGGCCGATGGTGCTGTCTCACAAGATCACTGAAAACAGCCCGCTGTGGAATGTCAGACCAGAGGATTTGTTTCTTGACAAATTCGAGATGATCATCTTCCTGGAAGGGACTATCGAGACGACGGGCGAGCTGATGCAGTCAAGGACCTCCTATTCAGCTTCTGAGATTATCTGGGGTCACAGGTTTGCCCGGATCGAAGAATACGATGAGAAAAGTAACTCATGGTGCATTGACTTTGTCCGCTTTGACAACGTGGTCCCCAGCCAGACCCCCAAGTGTAGTGCCAAGGAAGCCCAGCTCTTGTACAAAGGTACAGGCATTTTCAAGAATCTCGAGAAAGGGAGCAGCGGGAAAAGACGAGCCCAAAGCGAAACTGACGACATTGACTCGGTCTCTATAGCATCTGTCGACTCATATGGGACGGCGTCGGAGTCTCATAGCGACAACAACGACGACGACGATATAACAAGGTAAAGCTACTTAATCAAACCTCTACTATTTAAGCTAGGGACTAGTAAGGACTCAAACCACATGTAATAGACATTTTAACAAAGCAATCTTTAATTGACGTACGCGTTCTTGTTAATCAATATGTCGATTTGTCCATATCATTTGTTTACGCAACGGTTTTGAAAGTGATCATTACTTATAGACGAAGAAGATGTGTAACTGGATCCCAGGCCTATAAATAGGAGATACCCACTTGATATTTTGAGATTGGTTAATGCCAACAATCTGCTACACTAGTCAGTACGACATGGCCTATTGTTTTTGACATCACGAAGCACATTGATAAAATAAAGTTATCACGTGGCTATTCAAGGACACCGCGAGAGTGAATGCCTCACACGGTAATAGTACGTAATATATTGTACTTAACCAAATAACAGTATCCTTAATAAGTTTTTGTATTATTTCAGACGCCACTCAACAGCGAGCTTATAAGGACCAATACAAGAGGCATCTATCATTTCATGACCAGTGTTCACACGGGCTCATTGTATGGGAAATTAATTTCATTTATTGTAAAGGTTTAATCACTGCGTAATTTGTTTTCCGAAGGATAGAATTTGACATTTTATGTAGTTTAGAAAATGTGGTACTTCAGTCAGTTAATTTATTGTAAATATTCAAAGAAGTTCATTGTATATATACACATATATTATATACTTTTAATCATGTCTCAATTGATGTTTATACATAAATAAGTTTGTTGAATAAATTCATGTCTGCGAATTTTCCTGATTTGTTGGGCCAGTTTGTACATTGGGGGGTTAAGTGAACGGATATGTGGTGAGTGAGTGAGTGAGTGAGAGTGGTTACGAAGCTTCAGCCTCACTGGACAGGAATCACGACTGGTGTGCAGGTAGCTGGTGGTGGTGAGGATATGTTTGGTTACATCCAGGCTATTGAAAGGAAGCGGAACTCGGGACCAGTTTGGACCTGGGTTGTCTGGGGTGTTTCCGCTCTCTGTTACACTCAACAGCCACGAGTAGGAAGCAGATGGGTAGAGAGCAATACATCTGCACGTTCTCTTCTTTTAGTTCGCGTTGGTAATGTACGTTCGCTGCACATACTGCTAAATACAGCCGCTCACGGTCACCTGACTGCCACAGTCGGAATGTAACACCTGATCAATATCTTTATCAATCAGTGTCATCTCATATCATGTTCGATATACATGTTCTTCGTTCATATGGCCATGTGTGTCTCTAGTTGGTTATTAAGTCTGTTTAAGAATGTTTATTCACTCAGGTCTTGTGTTGTGTGGGTTGATCGTGTACAAAGGGGTGCCTCTGCTTAGCGAGCTGATCCCCACCCCAACCCCCTCTCACAGGTTATTAGTTCACTCCGAATTTGCCCAATCCAGTTGTAGAGTGATTATAGGATCTACGGCTTGGAGCCCACATTGTGACTTTCCCAATTTCATTAAAATCAGATCTTAGTTCTTGCTACCGCTAAACAAAGATCTAAGGACATCCCATTGCGGGTCACGTCAGACCGACCTTGTGCGAAATTTGACCGACCAATGGAGTGACCAATCAGAAGGCAGCTTTCTCGTGCTTTACGGCACTAATTTGAAATTGGCGACTACGCTTCGAAACATATTTTGACAAATTCTCGATTACAAATTTGAAACCTGAACAAAAGAACATTCTGGAATGGCTAATAGATGGTCTAGATTGTATGGATTCAGTCGTTATACCCGTAACTATCGTTCGGAATACCGCGTTAAGTTTTCGAGGTTGCATGATTAGAAATCACATTCCGACTGTCACTTTCATAATCTGGTAGGCGACGCGCTGATTGGTCGGATGAAAGGTCGTTCTGATGTGATCCCTAATGGGATGTCTTCAGATCTTTGTTTAGCGGTTGGGAGAACTAAGGTCTGATTTCCCTGTGTAGTGAGAGGAATCATGCCATTAGAGTTCACAGACAAACTCAAGGACTTGTTTCGTAAAAAAAAGGCTAATGGTGCCACTTTAGTAGCCTATTAATCGAAATGTAGAACTTATATAAATCGAAATTCCTCGTTACCATGATTATTTTCTCGTTATTTCGATTATTTTAAGTTTAATAAAAAATTATTTTTTAAAATCGAATTTGAAAAAATCATTGGAAATTACGAGAAAAAATGATTACAATAACGAGAAAATAATGGAAATTACGAAAATATAATCCAAGTAACAAGAAAATACTCGAAATTTCGAAAACATAAACAAATAATTGAAACTAAAGGAAACTTCGATTTAAAAACAATTAAGCTACCAAAGAGTCACCATCAGGCTTTCGTAGTTTCGAGCCCCCTGTTGGGGATGCTGCCTGCTGACCGAAAGATGAACCATAGCAGAAATAGTTGAGTGTGGATTCCTGTGTATAAGTATCTGGTCACGAATCCACGAAAAGGGCCATAGCGGTTACTTCCATTCTACCACATCCCCCAGGAATTCAGGACGATGTTTGTAAAATATTTTCCGTTTATTAGATGATGTACGGTATGAATCGTTGGTGTAGTTCTGCCTATACAAACCATAGTGTCCGGTTACAGGCTGACCCAAATGAGACTAGGTTTAGTTTTACACTGATGTCGTGGGTAAATATCAAATTGTTCTCACCAATTATGTTGAGTACTTTGGTTGTTAAAACTATTTTTAAAAACCCAACACATCATGTTAGTTGGACTCATTTTCACTCGTTAGTGGTTATTGTAGTGTTATTAATGGCTGTCGTTAGTGGTTATTGTAGTGTTGTAAATGGCTGTCGTTAGTGGTTATCGTAGTGTTGTTAATGGTTGTCGTAGTGTTGTTAATGGCTGTCGCTGGTGGTTATCGTAATGTTGTTAATGCCTGACGCAGTGTTGTTAATGGCTGTCGTAGTCTTTTTAATGCTTGTCGCAGTGTTGTTAATGGCTGTAGTAGTGTTGTTAATGGCTGTCGCTGGTGGTTATCGTAATGTTGTTAATGCTTGACGCAGTGTTGGTAATGGCTGTCGTAGTGGTTTTAATGCTTGTCGCAGTGTTGTTAATGGATGTCGTAGTGTTGTTAATGACTGTTGGTTATCGTAATGTTGTTAATGCTTGACGCAGTGTTGTTAATGGCTGTCGTAGTGTTGTTAATGACTTCGCTAGTGGTTATCGTAATGTTGTTAATGCTTGACGCAGTGTTGTTAATTGTTGTCGTAGTGTTGTTAATGGTTGTCGCTGGTGGTTATCGTAATGTTGTTAATGCTTGACGCAGTGTTGTTAATGGTTGTCGTAGTGTTGTTAATGGCTGTCGCTGGTGGTTATCGTAATGTTGTTTATGATTGACGCAGTGTTGTTAATGGTTGTCGTAGTGTTGTTAATGGCTGTCCCTGGTGGTTATCGTAATGTTGTTTATGATTGACGCAGTGTTGTTAATGGTTGTCGTAGTGTTGTTCATGGCTGTCGCTGGTGGTTATCGTAATGTTAATGCTTGACGCAGTGTTGTTAATGGTTGTCGTAGTGTTGTTAATGGCTGTCGCTGGTGGTTATCGTAATGTTGTTAATGCTTGACGCAGTGTTGTTAATGGTGGTCGTAGTGTTGTTAATGGCTGTCGCCGGTGGTTATCGTAATGTTGTTAATGCTTGACGCAGTGTTGTTAATGGTTGTCGTAGTGTTTTAATGGCTGTCGCTGGTGGTTATCGTTATGTTGTTTATGATTGACGCAGTGTTGTTAATGGTTGTCGTAGTGTTCATGGCTGTCGCTGGTGGTTATCGTAATATTGTTAATGCTTGACGCAGTGTTGTTAATGGCTGTCGTAGTGTTGTTAATGACTTCGCTGGTGGTTATCGTAATGTTAATGCTTGACGCAGTATTGTTAATTGTTGTCGTAGTGTTGTTAATGGCTGTCGCTGGTGGTTATCGTAATGTTGTTAATGCTTGACGCAGTGTTGTTAATGGCTGTCGTAGTGTTGTTAATGACTTCGCTGGTGGTTATCGTAATGTTGTTAATGCTTGACGCAGTGTTGTTAATTGTTGTCGTAGTGTTGTTAATGGTTGTCGCCGGTGGTTATCGTAATGTTGTTAATGCTTGACGCAGTGTTGTTAATGGTTGTCGTAGTGTTGTTAATGGCTGTCGCTGGTGGTTATCGTAATGTTGTTAATGCTTGACGCAGTGTTGTTAATGGTTGTCGTAGTGTTGTTAATGGCTGTCGCCGCTGGTTATCGTAATGTTGTTAATGCTTGACGCAGTGTTGTTAATGGTTGTCGTAGTGTTTTAATGCTTGTCGCAGTGTTGTTAATGGTTGTCGTTAGTGATTGCCGTAGTGTCGTTACTGATTGTCGCAGTGTTGTTAATAACTGTTGTAGTGTTGTTGATGGCTGTAGTGTTCTGAATTATTGCTTCACGATGACATTTGCAGACAGCTGTACCGAGGTACACAAATAAGGAACGCGGGCTATAGACGTCAGCAAAATTCAATCAGTTTTAAATCGTATTACAAATATGGCGATTTCGGGCAGAAAACCAGTACTTAGGCTTTGAGACACACATATGAAAATGTCGATATCCATACAGAAATCTAGATGGAAAACACATAAATCATTGCATGATTTCGTAAAAGTTATTAAAACATTGACCCAACATCATATCACTTTGCAAGGAAAGCATTGAACTGGAACGGTCTTTCTATACTCATACAAAACAAATCTGTGACGTCACTAAATCGTTTAGATGATCCGGGTTCTTTCACGAATGGACAATAATTTATAGGTTGTCAGAAATTGATGCATACGTTATCATGAACTCACATATCAATCATTGTACATTTGGAATTGACGGAACTAACAAAATATTTTGAAATTTCATATTTTGTCGGAACAATCTGTCGCAAGCGGGCGCGAACCGGCATCATATAATTTGCGTGCGTGTAAAAGACAACCACAGCTACTGCAGCAGATTTCTAAAATCAGTGAAGGCTCAGAAAATAAGGAATACTATTACATCATATTGGCTACAAGGACGGTATGTTAAAGTAATTGTTCAGGCTCTAGGATGTGTGCGATGTGCGTCAACATGTTGTGCTTTTTAAAACAACCAAATGTTCAGGATCCCACGAAAGTGTAAAGGTCGTTGTTCCACGCATTGTAAAATAACTAGCGACTAGGCTATTTATATTACGCATATTTCCACACAACACAGGGGCATTCTCAAAGCGCTATTATTAGCCCGGTCACTGGATCAATGTGCACTCAACAATCATTCTCAGCTCCCTAGGGAGTATACAACCCAGGCTGCCAAGAAGGTTTAACAACCACATTACCATCTTATCCTACCGCTACAAAACCAGATACTTTTTTATTTAAAACTGTGAGCTCTTATTCTTTTTGGAGATAAACAACAATGTAATTTTTGTAGCAGACTATGTCAATTGTTTAATACTATAGTCTGAAGAATAACTATATTCTGGGTCTTTTTATTTTTTTAGATAAAATCACTTCCTTAAATTTCTCAAGAAATACGTAATCCTCATGTTCCCGTCGTGGTATGAAAGAAATATTTCTGAAACACACCTCGCCTAACATACGAATTCGATTCGAATCTTTGGCACATAAACAACAAGCTTAAAACAACAACATGGCACGACTGAACGGTGCAGGAACCCTGTAGAACTACACATACCACCACTTATTCGAATAAACGATAGCATCATGTATGGAAATAGTTTAGGCCGGGACGGACATACATAGAAGCAGGATGAGACTTATACGATATA